TGTGTGTGTGTGTGTGTGTGTGTCTTTTTACTTTACTCATTCATTCATTTAAGAGACAGTGTCTCTGTCACTAGGCCAGAGTGCAGTGGCCTGATCATAGCTCACTGTAACCTTGGACTTCTGGGCTTAAGTGATCCTCCTGCTTCTGCTTCCCAAGTACCTGGAACTATAGGCATACACAACCACACCCAACTAATTCTTTAAAATTTTTGTAGAGTTAGGGTCTTACTTATCACCCAGGCTGATCTAAAACTCCTGGGCTCAAGCGATCTTCTGGCCTCAGCCCCCCAAAGTGCTGATATTACAGGTGTGAGCCACTGGGCTCAGCCAACCTATGATATTTTGATACTGTATAATGAAATGTATCTACATTTGGAAGATGAGAGAGAACTCATTGAACAAATATTTTCTTTCTTTTTTTTTTGAGACAGTCTCACTGTCACCCCAGGTAGAGTGCTGTGGCATCATAGCTCATAGCAACCTCTAACTCTTGGGCACAAGGGATTCTCTTGCCTCAGACGACTCAGTAGCTGGGACTATAGATGCCTACCATAATGCCTGGCTATTTTTTAGAGACAGGGTCTTGCTGTTGCTCAGGCTGGTCTCCAGCTCATGAGCTCAAGCAAACAAAATGCCTTGGCCTCCCAAACTGCTGGGATTACAGGTGTGAGCCACCACACCCGAGCTGAATGAGTCTTTTCTGAGTAGCCAATGCATGGTGTTATGCAGTCAAGCATGGGTAAAAGAATCATTAAAAATGCAAGGTAGACCAAAGGATATTTTTGTAAAAGTATAAAAGGTTCATTGGTAGGATTTCAGATTGTACATTGTACCTAGTGTTGAAGAAATGACTACTTGTCAAGTTCTGGTATAGCGGCAAGGAAGAATAGCCTCAGTTATCTGAGAAGAAGTTCCTTTCTTCAGCTACGTGTCTGTAAGGCGGCACTTTCTTCATATACTTCCACCTAAATAACATTTTGCAGTAGATTAAATACAGAACATCTTTAATGCTTCTGTTAAACTACATTTTGGAGATTTATAGAAATAGAAAAAAGTACAGTCTTACTGATTAAAAAATACATCTAATTAGTTTCTTTGAGAGTTTTTTGCAGTGACATGTAGTAAGGCTGGGTGTTGGTCCACTTGGTGTTGATATAACTGCACACTTGAGGCTTGGTAATCGTGAAGAGGTTCTATTTAGCTTACAGCCTGCAGACTGGGAAGTAAAGGAAGCTGTGCTGGCTTCTGCTTGGTTACTTTCTTGGGAGAGCTTTCTGTTCTGGGTCATGATGTGGTGGAGGTCACAGGGGAAGCAGACGGGTGCAGAGGCAAAGCTCAAGGGGCAGCCTCGCTTTATGACAACCCCCTCTCATGGGGACATACTCAGGAGTGTGAGAACTCATTATCTTGAGAAAGGCATTAGCCATTCTGGAGGGACTCACCCTCATGACCTGCACCCCGCCATTCCCCACCTCCCAGCACTGCCACATGGGGATGAGATTTCAATGTGAGTGTTAGTGGGGACAGCTCAGCTCGCAGCACTGGGCTTGTGTGCACGCTGACTTCTACCTGTTTTCCTCAGAAAACGGTCCGGATGTACCCCTTCCAGATTCACAGCGTCGCCCTCTCCACCTTTGCCTCACTCATCGGTCCCTTTGGAGGGTTCTTCGCAAGTGGATTCAAACGAGCCTTTAAAATCAAAGTAGGAAAGCCCTCCTCTTTGTTCTCTTATCTCCTCCCTCCTCACCCAGCTCTGGGTTTCCCTCCCCTATTCCACCCTATCAGCCACCCCCTCCTTTGAATACCAGGCGGTATACCCTGGAGATTAATGTGTGTTCTTAACCTTTGTGCCAAAGGACGCAGTTTTATTAAAGTACTTTCTCTTGTCCTCGGTTACTTAGGACAGTTGCTGGACACTGGGGTGGGACTTTTAGCCTGAATTTGGTCATTGGCTGAGCCCAGGCTCACCTTTCTGCCCTGTCTCCTGCAGGACTTTGCCAATACCATTCCTGGCCATGGGGGCATCATGGACCGATTTGACTGCCAGTATCTGATGGCCACCTTTGTTAACGTGTACATCGCCAGTTTTATCAGGTACTTGCCTTCCATGTCAGGTACAGGAACCAAGTTGTGGGTTTTTAAATATGTTACAATTCTAGAATTTTAGTTACATCAGAGTTTCCGTGAAAAGCATCCTAACTATAAATGCAGTTTTTTAGTTTTTACTGCTTATGGATTTTCTGAGGCCTCCTCCTACCCTTCATTATACGGAGTCTAGAGATCAAAGCAACCCTTGGATAATTAGGCCTTAGGAACTTCCGGGCCCCCGCTCAGAGCTGTTTCTTCATGTTCTATTCTAGAGGCCCTAATCCGAGCAAACTGATTCAGCAGTTCCTGACCTTGAGGCCAGATCAGCAGCTCCACATTTTCAACACTCTTCGGTCTCACCTGATCGACAAGGGGATGCTGACAGCTGCCGCAGAGGACGAGTAGGGACCACCAGGGCTGGAGAACAGGAGCAGGACTGAACGAGGGCTGGGTCTCCCAGGCCAGCCCTGCTGCCGTGACTTACACAATGACGAGGCTTCAACTCACTGTCTTTTTTTGTTTGTTTTTGGTAGGGCATTTTTTTTTATTTGTGAATTCAAAAAACCTGTATATACAGTCTATGTGTTTCTGACTTGGGTTGTGAGTAAGCTGTAGCTTTGAGTTGGAAAGAAGTCATGGGGCTAAAAACCATTTGACAAAAGTATTTTAAACAAAAGTGTTCAACAATCTGGAAGACGATGATGCCCAGCTCAGGAGCGCGTCTGCTTGGTGGTTCAAGACCCCATCAATTGAACTGTCTCTGGGCTCAGACAGACACAGATGTTCATCTGTGTCTGACCGGTTTGGAGGGCTTCTGCACTGTGTCAGGGGTCACGGCTTGGCTGTCTTTGCTGTACTGGAGAACTTTTCGCCTGGTCTTTTCTAGCAATCCCAGCTTGGAGCCTTGGGAGGGTTGCCTTCTATAGGAGGGAGAGGTGGATGCTTATTGATCAGATAAGGACTCTGTCCTGCAGAGTGTAAATTAGCTCTGCTTTATAGTATGGTTTTACCTTACTTCATCACAGACTGAAAGAAAGTTTCAGTTTATATTTTTTTCAGAAAGCACGAAAAATTATTTATAATAGTCTGGAGAAAAAACCACACTGTACTATTTCAAGTGTATGCAGTAGAATGTACTGTAACTGAGCCCTTTGCCACGTGTTTTCGGCTCAAGTGTGTCCTGTAGGGCAGTCAGCTAACCGTGTCATTTTCAGGGACGATGCCGGCCATGTTTGTGCTGTAGACTGCTGCTGCCGAGTCCTTTCTGGGGCCTTCCCTTTAGGCAGGGAGCACAGGCCTGTCGATCATGCACCCTTTGCCTGAACACCCATGTAGCTGCTGTGTTGTGTATATTTCACTCGTGTATATATCTGTGAATTTGTTTTAAAAGTCACTTATTTCTTACAGGGATGTTAGTTGCACCACGACTTCTTCATTGAAATCACAAAGTCCTGCTTAAAAGTATGGAAAACCTAACCTGATTAGAGGCTTGACTATTTTGAAGATTAAATGCACACTTTTTATATGATGTGACCAGTTTAAATGTATTTTGTATTTGACTGGGATAACTTTTGTTGTTGTTATTTGCTTAAACTGTGATTTATTTTTTCCCTCCCTAATTGTAGGGGTGAGATTGACTTCAGGAAGACAGATAAATCTTTGTCAGACCAATAAGCGGTAGAGTGTGGGGGAGAGAACTTGCTACCCAAATGTGTTAAATTATTCTGTGCCACGGCTGCTTTCATTGCCAATGACTTGCTTCAGCACGTTGGTCTAGTGCTGGTTTGTGTTGTTTTTGCTTGTAAATTAGCCTCACTGCCTCCCTCGAAGCTCATGGTCAGCCCAGGCCTCCAGGTCTCCAGCACATTGGGTAGACAACAGAGCCTTCAAGGTGTTTCAGCTCATGTGTCACTGTGTGACCTCCCACATGCATGCAGGGTTGAAGCAGCTTCTATCCTTTGAACTTTTACTTCATTTCAGCTTTTTGGCTTTTCCTGTTCAGGTCTAAGGCCTTCTTAAAAACCAGATATGTGCGGTCTTGGGCAGGATGCATTGTCCTCAGGGGCCTCACTTTCCCATGTGGCTTCCCGTGTCTCTGTTCTGCAGTTCGGGCTCAGCAAGTTCACATCCCTAGAGGCTCCTGTGGGTACCAAGTTAAGGCCCTGGGTGCCCAAAGAAGAAGTGCTTTCAGGCTTTTGTGAATGCTTGTCCTCAAGACAAGTCAGTATCTCAGCAGCAGTGACAGGTGATCAGTAATGAGATTGTAGTTTCCTGATTGGAGAGTGAACCCTGGGTCACTAGACTAGATACAGAAGGGCATCCGTTTGTCTCTGTTGTGCCACTGTGGGCATATTATGGAGTCCTTGGGAACAGGCGTCTCACTGGGGCCCGACAACAGAGACTCTTCTCCAGTAGGGCAGCCTTAGGGGTCGGAGCCTGGCAGCACCAGGTGAAGCTTGCATTCCTTTGTGGACGGGTCACCGATAAGGGTTTTGGGAAGCAGAAGCCAAATGCTCACAAGAACTGCCCCCAGGAAGGCCAAGGGATTGGCTGGGCCTTTATTTTCTTCTGATTTCCCCTTTGCTTCCCTGTCAAGTTGTGCCCTACTCCTCTGAGTCACAGGTGCTGCCCTTCCCTGCCAAGTTGTCAGGAGAGCAGCGCCACCTTGTGTCGGTGAAGCACAGTGCGCCGCCTCCTGTGTACAGACAGGTGCGGGCTGTGCTGACACACGCCGGGCTTAGTGAGTGGCACTACCTGCTTTATACCCATTTTTTTTGCTCAGAAATAAAGTGTGACTGAAACCGTATGCCCCTTCTTGTGTGACTTCACCATTTACCACTTCCATGCGTGGTTCTTGTTTCCTACTTGTTTATGTATTCATAAATACTGTGTGGACCTGAGTTAGATATTTTTGCTTTGTTTTCTAGTTTGTACCCCTGCATTTCACAGCCGCCTTCTAAGCTGCCTCAGGTTAGAGTCACAAATACCAGGGAGGGAACTTCCCTGGGGTGACGTGGTGGTGTCAGGACGCCTTCAGTGCACGGGACCAGCCCTGCCGCCTTCCCTGGGGTGACATGGTGGTGTCAGGACGCCTTCAGTGCACGGGACTAGCCCTGCTGCCTTTCCTGGGGTGATGTGGTGGTGTCAGGACGACTTCAGTGCACAGGACTAACCTGCTGCCTTCCCTGGGGTGACGTGGTGGTGTCAGGACGCCTTCAGTGCACAGGACCAGCCCTGCCGCCTTCCCTGGGGTGATGTGGTGGTGTCAGGACG